TATTATGTACACACATGCAGCAAGCACATTTAGCCCGGCATAAAGCAAGTTCACAAAATATAAGTCATAAAAGATGTCCAATCAGGTTGGGACTGTATCCTTATGCCTATTGTTTTGGTTTAAAAATGACTGTGAATGCTAAGCGAACCAGGACTAAATGTATAATTTACTTTTGGGTCCGGACCAAAAGAATCAAGAGAGCCAAACTACAAGTGGAAACACACCCTTAGAGTTTGGCCTCATGCATACGCTAATCATTCATGTCAAAACTAATGTATACTTTGGGATTTATGGTGCATGTCAGTTTAGTACTGCTCAAAATTAAATCAATCAATTTAATACACTTTTGTTATCCCAACCAGTCTAGTCACAATGAACGCATCCGAACTACATTTGAAAAATTCATTAAATATAGTAATAAGTATAGTAATAACATGACAGATGTCACTACCTACAACTGTCCAGCTTCTGATGTGCATAAAGTTGAGCTTTTCTCATCTTTGAGATGCTCTCAATCGCTCTCAACACTTTCTCTGTTCCACTATCAATCTCATATTACCCCACATGAGCATGTTGCTCAGCTCTCATAGGAATTAATTGAAAAGTCCCACAAGTGGACACACACCGCTATGGGTTTTCTCAAATTTGGACAAGCAACTCATTACGGACCACATGATACGGGCATAAATGATACCTCAAACTGTATGGCTAGTTAAGGAGATGCACATGTTATTAATTTTCTGATTTGATGGATAAAACAGGTGTCAAATCCTATAGACTTCCATTTAAAGGAACAAACAAGCCTGATCTAGTGACCAGAATATCATAAACCCCACCAAAGAACATCCTGTGTATTTTCACCTCAGAAAAAAAAAAAAAAAAGGATTAGCCAGATAAATCCATGTCTTTAATGCATAAAGATGCCTTAAAAACTACTTTGGCCTTTAAAATGTTCCCTGACATGCTTCTCTGTCTATGGGAACAGACACGCTGAAGTGTCCCTCAGATCTCATAGTCAATCAAATAAAAGCCACTGACAAATCTGGGCAGCTGCCTGCAAAACCTGATCAGACAATAAGTAAAACCAGGGACTAGAGAACAAAAGGTTGTGGCACAAAGTTTGGATGTGACTATACAACTGTACTTCTTTTTGTGTCTTTTGGCTCGGACAGTCATTTAACGGTTTGACAAACACAGCCGACATCCATCTAAACTGCTTATATAAACCAGACTTCTTTAATCAAGTGTGTGGTTGAATGACACCATGTTGCACAAGACCAATTACAGGCTAGTGCTGCCAGGTCCAGCAGTCAACACTATAGACAAGCATATATGTTCTCTTTTACTGGGACTCGGAAGTCGTAAATCTTACACTGCAGTTCAACTCATAGGCCAATGTTTCATTGTGAAGGGTTCACAGAGGTCTAAACGTGGGTGGACATTGAAAACTCACAGGAGGTGATAGTTCTCCCACATGCATTTAAGTAGAGACGACCTCGAGAGTCATGAGGCAGATTGTTCAGAATTAAACGCTTCAGTTTCTAGGTTATTCAGAAAGACTGCAGTGATGTTATGCCGTAAACGCCAGAGGTTTCCTGTGCCGTTCACTCCCTTTCTGTCTACAGTACGCAAAGCCATGTATTTTTCTGTCTATATCTTCCACTGTGTTCAGGACAGCATGCGTCATCTAGATACCAGTAACTGTTAATGACTCTAGCTTAATTACTGTGCGCAAAGGTACACAAAACCTCAAATCAGGGGCAATTAAGAGACCCATTTAGATTGTAATCTTCTCTGCACCTTAAATTTGGAAATGTACGGCTGGATTTCTTGAGATCGGTATGTGTCAGTGGTTTAACCGACAGCATATGTTAAGTGGTACAGTTTAAAGTCAGCATGGTCGATGGTCTTATTCTGTGTGAATCATCTGTGGACATTATACCAAATCAAAAAATTAATTTCCGTAAATGTGCTGCACTTCTGAAACAACTTCTTTTGGCTGATGTCACCAAGCCCTTTAATTATTTTCAGCCCCGCCCCTCCAACTATCTCGCTCCATGTGACTTCTCACAATCCAACTTCTGATTGCAAAACAAGCTCATTGGAAATATGTGCTTGTGGCAACGTTTCTGCAACACCAGCATTACGTACCATACTGCACGTTTCACGGCAGTGTCAAAGTAGAATGTCCAGTGAGTGGCGCTAAAACGCACATTCAATACGTGACCATTACCACATTTTTTTTACTTTGGTACAGGCACGTATTGCTGTGTTTTATTATGTTTCTTCAGGCACGTATTGTGGTGGTTCAGAATTCAAATGTCTAAGGAGTGTCGCTAAAAGGTTAATGCTCTATCGTGTTGGAAAATAACATACTCCCTACACCAAACCCAACCCTAAACCTACCCGATAGTGTAAACGAATGCAAAAGTGATATAAAAAGACATTCGCTGATGCAACTGTGCTATTTAAACTATTTTAACTATCTTCTACGCGGGTTTGAGGTGTTGTGTTGAACCGTAGTTTCACAGGATTTGTACCGAAGCGCTTCACCTCACAAGAGCTACAGAGCAAACCTACTGCGTTAGAAAACCCATACATATGAAGCTTTATATGTGATGATAACAATCAAAAGTATCCGTTTTCAAATCTTACAGCGTGTTAAAAAAAAATTGCTCATAACATAAAATTGTGTAAGGAATTGTGCGAAAATTAGGCTTTCTTGATGAAAACTTTGACCCTGTAAATCCTAATTTGTGTGAAAAGGAATAAACGTTGTCTGAGTTTTACTGCCTCTAGTGTTTATAACAACTGGAAACTGCAGCAATGTGTACGTATAGGTAGGTTTTTTGAGTTTTGCAGAAATGTAGGTAGAGGCACATATTTCCAATGACCCTGGGTAGCCTGATTGATGAAATTAAGTCCCACCCTTTTTCTGGTTTCTCTCAAAATTGTTTTTGATTATGGAAGTAAAATGAATCACAAATGGTATTTCATGTCGACCATCTGTCCATGATGAATAATGCAAGCTTCATATTTATAAAATAGTTCATGTGAAATGTCACCCACTATTTGACCAAACAGAAGGAGCATAAAATTGTACAGATACATTTGGTAAGTCAAGATGTCCCCTCTTAAACCAGGCTAAACTGGTTTGCTGGTCTTGTCTTCTGGCTGTTTTTAAAGGGTTTTGGTCTCTTTTCAAATCTCGAACTACTTCAATTGGAAAGACCAAAAGATCCAAGCAGTTAAACATTAAAGGAGTGGTTCATTGCAATTTCACTTTTTAAACGTTAGTCAGTGTGTAATGTTGCTGTTTGAGCATAAACAATATCTGCAAAGTTACAAAGTTGAAAGTTCAATGCAAATGGAGATATCGTCTTTTAAAATTCTGGCAGTTTAATGCCTACAAAAATGGCTGGTAGGGACTACAACGAGTTACTTCCCGGGTTCGTGACATCACAAATCCAGATAATTTTTTTTTTTTTGCAATGACAAGGGATACGGAGATCACACTTTTGGAATGTTTCAAGTCTCATTGACTTGTATTGAAACACCTTACAATTGCTTTAAATGTGAAACAGAAGACAAACGTTACTGCCTCACAGATAGCCGATACATATTCGCACGAAATACACACCTTTGCCCTCCATTTGTGTGCAGCCACAGTCATACAATACTCAAATGTGACATATGGCTGCACTTTTGGTGTTTTGCTTTTGGAAAGTTTTACCCAGTGATCTTTCTAGAAAGATACTTCTTAAACAGGAATGCATTAGTAAAGCTTGCAATAAAGTTCTGTCACTCCATTTTCCCACAGTTTGACCTCAATGTAATGCTCAGTGACAAACGGTACTAATAGAACCTAACTGACATTTGATGTCAAGGAAATGATGCATGGAAATGAACTCCGCTTGATTATATTCTTAATTATGATCCAGAGCACACACAATTGTTTAGAAAATGTTTGTCATTTTGTCAAGCTATAAACAGCACCCTTAAAGGGTTAGTTCACCCAAAAATGAAAATTAGGCTGTAAAACCCATTTTAGTTATTGCACTACACAACTATACGCTTTGTAGATTGAACAGCATAGTGTTATATCTCACAGGCACACATTCCCTCACAGCATGACTGTGATAAAAAATAAAAAAAAGTCTACCTGACATCCCTCATGTCACGTCCCAACAAGAAGCAAGGTGTACTGTAGAGGTTATTTGTGCAAGTCATTTGCTGTATAGACACAAACTTTAAAGGGCTACTGGACTTAAAACTAACTAAATAAATACATAAATAATGAACATTATTTCCAGCATTATTGCCTGAACGGGACACACTGTCGCACTCTATGAGGTAACTTGCCATTAAGCAGCCTATTATGGTTTTTCAGTTCAATTTAAAACAATTAGTAAATGAGTAAAACAATTATGAAACACAAAATAAACACCTTAAGCTTTTTTTCGGGGTCAATAGATTATAATTCAACTGACAACTTTCCCCAAATTACACACATGACTCTTCTTTCAGTATAGGCTATGTCAGTTAAGTATGCTCACTTGTTACCCAAAATAGTTTGCAAAAATGTTATATTAAATCGCAGTATTCAGAATTCACACACAAACAAAAATGTCCTAAAATGTCCCCTTGTGACAACTTCCCCATGTGACTATAGCCCCGGTCACCCGTAAATGATTGAGCAGCAGAAGGAAAGAAAACATTTTACAGTAATTTTCAAACATTAAAGATCATTAATGTTAATTCAAATAAAACATGGCATGGATTTTCCTTTATATTTTCAGATTATGGATATTTGAACGCACATCTATTGATCGGTTAGTGACGTAACAAACGATTATTAATAATAATTAAGTGTTATGATCACTTTCAGAACATAACTATTTGATATAGCCTAACGCGAGCGTTCTAGACTAGTTGCGTCGCGTCGCACTCAGTGTGAATGACGCACCAGAGCGCGCGGTCCCAATGTAACGGGCTCTTACCTGTTGGAATATCCTTATTTCTCTCCATGCTCAGGGAATACTGAACACAGGACATCAGCGTTAAAATAAGCGCGTAAAAGCACCGATGATGCTCCATCGCCGCTTCGGTGAAGTCCTCAGAGACGATGTGAACGAACAAGTTTGCGAAGTTGCTGCTGGTCAGCGCGCGGTGAGTCCGAGAAGCCCCGGGGTCAGCAATAAAACCTCTCTATAGGTCACCTAAGTAAAGTAATTTCTAGTGAAAATCAGTAGTGATAAACGTGCTGATTAGTCCCGCAAGAACGAGCTGACTGTGATGGTGCCCTCGATGTTCCCCAGACAGGGTGACAGGAGTGAGTGTGATTGAACAAGTACAGCTGTGTTTGAGCACCCCTCCTCCTGCAGTCCTCAAACACGAGCTCAAATAATGCCCCCCTGCACCGCCCTCATTCACACCCAGACTCACACGCTGCTTCCACTGTAAAAGAGAGAGAGAGAGAAGGTGAAAGGCTAAAAGTGAACATTAGCTGCCTGAAGTAATATGCCATATTAGAAAATGCAGTGGTAAAGTCATTGCACTTTTTGACTACTTTGAAATTAATAACTTACTCAGGAAAATGTTTAATATGACAAGTTAGTGGATGAAGAAAAAAGTTGATTTTAGAATAAATTGCTAAAAACATTTCTACACACTCTATATGTGACATAAGCTGAATGGATATTAGCACAATGACTATTTGTTTCTAAAATCAAAATATAAATAAAAAATCTAAGATAAAGCAAAGATAGTATATAAAACCTAAAAAAGCTTGAGAAAGGAAAAGCTTTATGAAGAAACTAAATGTCCTTTCAAACGCCAACATTTTGGGTGAGGGCTTAAAATGAGTGTAATCTACCAGTAGAATGGGAGTTTGGCATCATCATAAAAAAAAAAATGTAATGTATGTGTGTGGTGGGCGGGTCGGGTTCTCCATTGTGTCCCCACAAGAACTGTAGAACCTGAAATCTAACCTGATTTCTAATCTGAACCTACATTGTGGGGAGCAGCCCTTGTGAGAAAAAAAAAGCTTAATAATCATAATAAATAATGCTTTGATGGAAATATAAAATGTTTAAGGGTTATGCTATAAAACAGTGTTATGGTAGCATTTATGGTAGAAAACACTGGTTCAGTATAAAAAAAGTATATGGAGGTAAATATAAAGTTCTCACTATGATAGACAAACAAAATACAAAACAAAACTAGTTGCTTATTAGCATGCATATTGCAAGGTTCATATTGATAATAAATACTGCATTCTTTATTTCTAAAGTGCATTAAGTGGTTACAGTTATTATTAGATTATTTTAAGAACAAAATAAGTCACTGGGTCTTCATTGGGCCCTTATTCCCACCTGATACCATTGCGGTACCATGGCACAGCCATCAACCCTGTAAACCCTGACATATGAAATAATAGTCCGATTTTTTTTTTTTAACAAACAGTTTATTGTTTATACGTTTAGACAAAAGAAAAAAAAACTGCCTTTTATTGCTCATAATAGTGTGAATGTACAGTGTGTATAGAAAATAATAACCCCCTTTAAAATGATCACATTTTGTTGCTTTGCAGCCTGAAATGAAGACGGACACAGTTTTTGTTTTATCCAGCTGTATTTACTCAGTGCAACTTATAACATCCAAATGAAAGATATAGCACAAACATGTCAAAAAAAAAAAAAAATAATAAACTGAATCGCTGTTGGAAAAAAGGATCACCCCCTCCTAAAAACGACTTGTAAAGTCAATAATCACCTTCTCAGTGGCACACAAAGCCATTTGACTGATCAACTGTGTTCATTTTGATTAGCTCAGCATGAAAACAGCTTTCCTGGAGCTTTCCCCAAACTGAGCAAAAATATGTAATTTGGTACAGTTGGTATTTTCTTGGCCAAAAATAAGATGAAATTCTGATAGCTTGTGATGTAAATCAATGAGATCTTTATAACAGTATAGCAGACTACTTAGGCTACATAAAATGCATATACAGTACATAACGATTGTCACGCTATATCTCCCAATAATATGTCTTAGTAAGATGATATTTAAATGCTTAGTTTTATGAGCTCATTCAAAGCTCTGTAGTTTTTATTGTGCAGGAGAAAACATATAAATGCAATGCAATGATGATTGAGAGATGAACAAATAAACATTCCTCAAAAGCCTGATGGATCATATTTGATACTCATTTTAGCATGATGTCTGGATAATCAAGTAAACCTAAGTTGCTTCAGTCCAATAAGTGTTCATCTTGAAGCAGTACTGACAATGTTAAAGGGTATTCTTATACTTACTTTATGAAGAAGAAGAAAAAAAAACATTAAAGAAAGTATGAACTATCAATCAGACGACCAAAATAGTCACGACACTGAATAGTCTTCTCTCTTTTTTATTTTACTTACAAAAATCACCTGCATTGAGGGAACCAGTCAACATCCCCCATAGGGGAATAGCGCAATGCAAGTATTGTAAATATATGCAACTATTGTAATGCAATAGTTAGCTCAGTATTAAAACAACAGATGTAAAAAATCCCCAACAAGCTGCCCACATATATCCACTGACCGCTTGATTACTGCTGTACTTTAAAAAAAATTGAATAATTTTCCTTGAAGGCCATTTACTATACCAAAATAACACTGCAGTACATTGAAAAGAAAGATCCTCCGTGCCAAACAAAAGCTATATGGCAGAGTTGGATCTTGACCATGCAATTTATGCATGTTATTGTGGTCTCAGGCTTTCAGACATAGGCCTATTGTGTTTTTGCACACAGTGTTATAATGAGGTAATCTGGTTCACGTCCAACACTCTTAATAGCCACTGATTGATGTCACTGAGGCCAATGTATTCCCATTCATTCTTTTTACAAGATTCAGTTTCACTCATGCATGTAGCTATGAGTAGTACAAATACTCAAAACATAGGTTCACCAGAGGTTCACGGTTCTCTGTGGGCCATTAAAATGTCTTGTCGCAGTCTTTGTCACTGCAGATAGAAGATGTTTCAAAGCACAAGAGTGGAGATAAATAAAGGCATATATACTCAATGCATCCCTTGACATTTCACAGCTTTGTGAGACAGAGGAGTTTGTTTGGGGGATGGAAGCGGGGGCTACTAACATGAACAGCTGAAATCACTTCTGTATTATACAGTGAGAAACACACTGGCTTTGCATTCATCTGCCACATCTGGTCTTGGTTATTTACTGAGCGACAATATAGATGTGATTATGTAAGTGCAAATTACATGTTTTGTGTGCGCAGTAAAATGTACAGTATGATATTGCTTTTACATTGCTAGAAACTATAAAGTGAAGTGAAGCTAATGGATATGCTGATAAATAGAGGCAGAAGACTGCCAATGATTCAGAAAAGTCTAAAAAAGGACATTATGTTCTCTAAAATCTGTAAAAGAAAAGCTCTGTTTACTATTGTGGTCAAAGGGTGAATCTCACAAAACCATATTTCATATTTCAACCCAACATAACAGTCCAATAATCAAACCAAGTATTATTATTAATTTAAGAATAAAAGAAAACAGCCTATTTACAAGATTGTTCCGCATTGTGACAAGAATATTCATAATTATCACCAGTATAACGGGTTAAGAAAAGTAAAATAAAATAAAAAGTTACACAAAATAAATTATATATTATTTAAAAATGTAAAATATTAATTCAAATAAATAAATTATGTATTATTTTATGTCATGGTATTACTGTCTTTATTTTATTTGATTTTTTAAATATATGCATTTTTAAAAGTATATCATGTATTTTACGCTAAGTAAAAAAAAAAAAAAAGCCTAATTTTCATGGAGATAAAGTCTGAATGCAAAGCACCTTGATGTTATTTTTGCATGTAATGTAACCTTTAACATGTTTTTGTCAGATACACCCACATTTTTTATAATTACTGACAAAAATTATGCTTTCTATTCCAGTTAACATCTTTTTTTATAAGATTTTATGATGTCCCCCCAAAAGGGAGACAAAAAAAAAGTGTTTCTTGTCACAATTTCCTTAAAATGCAAAGACATTAGTTTGAAGAGATGTCAAAGTCTGCAGGCAATAAAGGCGATCATGATTCTCCATCTATATTTCCATTCATTGAAAATGTCAAGTACAGTAAATTTTGATGTGGATGACAGAGTCAGGCAGTAGTACAACCAATAAATGAATCAAGACTAAACATTTTTACAGACCTTTGGACCTTTTGTCTTGAATCACACAGTAAGACAATCTAAACGTTTTAGCCCACCTAGTTTTTTTCCCCCATGTGCATGGAATAAACTTAAAATACATATACGTGTCTTTTTGTGGTACTGGCAATGCCTGGCAAATGGTTTCTCGATTACGATGATGAGTCACCCATCCACGACGACATGATCTCATGGACCTGATGAATCCTTTGCTATAATTGCTTCCAATAATAGCTTTTTTTTGTTTCAAATGCATGCCTTTGAACCTGCCACTTTGTGTTAATTACAAACTGGCAACGATAGAAGACCAGTGCCTCTTGATAGACCAACCGCTGTCAGTCTGACATTTCCACATCTGTGCACTGGTTTGAGTGAAGTTAAGATGGGAAATCCCACACTTCAGCCAAAATCATGAAGAGAACTTGACCTCCAGGAAAACACATTTGTCTTCTTGCTCTATAAGCATCCTCAAGAACCCATCATTTAAATGGATGGAAAGGAGACAATCTATGTATCCACAGTGGCGCCATTTGCAACACTGAAAACAGGCAGATAGCATGTTGGTCATGGACATTTCGGAAAGAAAGAATATAGGGTGCAATATATGGAGTCTTTCGGCTACACATGCAGGAAACGTAATTTGCATTAAAATACTATCCTTGTGAAAAAGAAGTGTGCTTAACTGTATTGAATGTGCACTTGTAGTGTCCTTAAAATCTATCTTTCTTTTTTATAAAAACTGTAATTACAGATAATAGTATATCAGTGAAATAAAAGGCCACTTAGTGTACACTTTCATGACTGTTTCCAAGCACACTTTTAAAATAGTGCACTTTATAATGTCAAATGAAAAGTTTTACCTTTAAGTACACTTTAAACCATTATGTTTTAATTTTGTAATAATTATGTCATTATGTAATGATTTTGTCATGCTTTAAAGAAGTGCACTTGCTGTATTTTGATGTGTCGACTAACAGACTAAAGCACATGTAAAGTACTTGATTTTAATTTTATAATTAGTGTTTTATGCAATAGTAAATCAATAGTTAATATGTTTTTGATATATTTAGTTAAAGGGGTCATATGATGTTGCTAAAAAGAACATTATTTTGTGTATTTGGTATAATGAAATTTGTTTATGCGG